GCTAGCCACGGTATTGAGGACGCACTCCGCCGACTTAATGCGCTTAGTGTGGACATACACAATTGACTTCTATAAAATCGACCTAATTTCATAGTGTAGACATACCCTATAAGTACTTACTCAGCAAGAAGATTTCTGAAACTAGAGGACTCTATTCTAGCCAAAAAAAGGCAGAACAAGATCCAATGGCTGGAAGCTGAAGCTACACAAATTCAAACTGGATATAAGGTGTGAATTTTTAGCAATGAGGGTAACTAGCCATTGGAACAAATTACCAAAGGATGTGATGGATTCTCCATCACTTGATGTTTTTTAAATCAAGACTCTTTCCAAAAGATATGCTCTAGCTCAACAGTAAATTCTGGGCTTCATGTAGGAATCACTGGTTGAAATTCTGGCTTGTTACGTAAGAAGTCAGACCAGATTATGATAATGGTCCTTCCTGGCTTAAATTCCGAGAAAGGTACTGATATTTAGTCAGCCGTTCTCCTTTTTTGCTGCCCTCATCTACCCTGCAAAGCTCAGCTGATTGTAGATTCTATTTTAAATTTCCTCACTGTTCTTTATTTCCATATTAAGTACGTAGCACTCCTAGCGTTATCCACACACATTCAGAGCCTAAAACTCTGATTCCTATACATGTGCCTGCCGACAGCTCACACCTGCTAAAGCATGTTGCAGCCTCTTCTGGAGAAGAGGAAAGTGATTAAACAGAGTATCTGAATGCCTTCTAGTAGTGCATTCAGCAACGTAGCTATACATTTGTCATATTTGTTTTTTCACCCTCTCCCCAGGGGGAGAACAGTATGCAGCGGAGTGTCTTGTTTTGGTAAGGTAGCTATGTGTTTATATTACAGAAGGCAAGATCAAAGAAATGGAAGAGAACACGATGAGGTTTGTGCTTATCCTTAGTTCCTGGGGGAGTTTATTCCACAGTCTCGGACTACCCCTGAAGAAGACTCTGTCTCCTGTACAGACAAGTTTCACTCTTACCATTGTGCCAGAGGAACTGAGTTGTTGACCGGGTCTTCATCCCAGAGCTTTAGATGGTGTTTTAGACACACTAGACCCAGGCCACAGAGAGCTTTGAAGATAAGGACCAAGACATTGAACCTGATAGAAATTCTATGGGAAGCAGTGCAGGGAATGGAGGACAGGTCTCCTATGTTCACGGTACCTTGTGTTGCTGAGGAGACGTGCTGCAGCATTCTAAACTAGAGTTTCTTAAGTGCTGAAGGCTTCGTGTACAGGTATACTGTATTGTTGTAATCCAGTAGAGAGGTGAAGACAACATGAATAACTGAGGCCAGGTCTTTGTTTGGCAGGGTGGGACAGAGTTGCCGGTCAAACGGAGATGGTAGAAAGCGTTGCTAGTGGATGCTGCCATGTGAGAGTTCAGCATTAGTGAGGAATCCAAGAGTACTCCTAGACTATGGACTGAATTGACCAATTGTGGGTGTGTATCTTCAACCAATGGAGACTGCACTATGGCTGCAAGCTCTTCAAAAGTACTTTCCTTTGCCCACCAGCATCAGCTCTGTCTTGCTCGGATGCAAACTCCTAGTGCAGTCAGTGCACCAGAGTAAACAGCAACTTGCACCAGTGCAGCATAATCCAGTTTGAAAGCAGGCAATGCTGCACCAGTCCACAGCACAGGTTCCATCAGTGCAGCACACAGGGGTTTGTACCAGTGCAGCTACATTCATGGCCTAAAACTCAATGCAGACAAGACCCTCCTGTCCTGGCTTTGTAAAGCACGGAGTACATTTATGGGGCCCATATAGAACCTAGGCTCGAAGTTCCTGGGGCAGCAATCTTGTCTTTTGTCTCTAAGCAGCGGTACATTGATGGTGGTGTATAAATAATAGAACAGGACTACAGCATAGCAAAAAGGCTTCCACCTCCTCTCCTCATCTCTCCATTCTAGGGAGCAAATTCTTGGAAATGACTCTGCCAAGTGGCTTGCTAGAGGCAGTGAACTGACAGTAAAGCATTAATCTGGCTTAGGGCTTGGCAACACTTGAGAGTTACAGCACAATAAAGGAGCCCCGGATGCCCTTGCTCACTCCCCGTCCACACTGGCAAGACACGTAGAGCGCTCTGTCTCTGCAGCTACAGCGCTGCTGGTACTTCACCTCGGCGAGAGGAATAACGTTCGCTGCGCCTTGGCTACAACGCACGGGCGTCAGTGTGAACGAGGTGCGCTCTGATCGGCCTCCGGAAACGTCCCATAATCCCCGTAAGTCAAGTGACCACTCTTGTCATTGTTTTGAACTCCTGTAGGAATGCGGAAATGCCCTTTCAAAGCTCCGTTTCTGACAGCCGGCATGCAAGCCATTAGTGTGGAAAGCTGAGGGGGGGGGGGAATGGGGGGGTCTGCTGCTGTCTGAACTTACAAGATAGCATGCTGACATGCTCTCTCCCCCCACATACATACAACACACTCCCTGTCACACTGCACCTCCCCCCATTTGAAAAGCACGTTGCAGTCACTTGCATGCTGGGATAGCTGCCCATAATGCACTGCTCCCAATGCCGCTGCAAGTGCCGCAAATGTGGCCACGCCAGTGCGCAAGCAGCTGTCAGTGTGGACAAACTGCAGCGCTTTCCCTACTGCGCTCTCTGAAGGTGGGTTTAACTCACAGCGCTCTACATCTGCAAGTGTAGCCATGCCCTTAGAAAGCACTACCTGATGTTCAAGGAAAGAATGTTTGTCCCTAATACATTACAGACCTAGCTCAAAAAAAGCTCCTCTGTATCTGAACTTTACTCTTGGAATAACCTTCCATCTCTCACCCACTCAATACTTAGGAAAAGAATTTGGATCTTAATCCTCATCCAACGCCCATGTGGCTAACCTCTGTCAAGCTATGTTATTCCACACTCTGTTTAAGGTGTCTGCCTTCACTAGAGAAATCCAAGTACTGGCTGTGCATAGTAACAGACAGGCACAAGTTCTGTGATGTATTAAGCAGAGAGCAGCAAGTAGTTCAGAGACAATTGTCATAGGAAAATTTATCAGGACCACAATTTATTGCTCTTCTAAAAATAGACACTCTCTTTGTATGCACACTGAACTATTCTCAGGAGGGCAGTTACAGTACATTTAGTATGCTACTAACTACAGTACATTTGGTATGCAACTAACTATGCAGTTACAGTAGGAGCTCATACTGAGATACTAACAAATACAGCAGAGTTCTGTTTCCCACAGCATGAGATTCATCATCATGCACCACCCACAGTTAAAAGTTAAGTGAAAAGCAGAGCTGATCCAAGATCCCTGAAAGAGGAAGCATGTGTGGAGTAAACGGAAGTATCGCTTTGCTCACTGCCTCAGCTTCTCTCTGATGTCCTATATTTATGCACTCAGTGGTGGGTACAGAATTGTGCACAGGGAATCACATAACCATTATTTTGGTCTCCTGATTTGCAATTGGAAGAGGGGAATTGAACAACAAAGAACTCTGAGTGATGTCATTTACAGACTCACTGACGGTGTGTAATCAGTAAATCACATGACAGTTGTGATCATTCTGCAAGACAAGTCATATTTTAACACTTCAGCATCCAGACAGTCAAGAAAGTATGTCTCTGTTGTACCTTCTCATCTCCTCAGCAATGATTTAGGAGTGGTTATTCTGGGATATAAAATTGTGTGTTTCTGCCCATATTGATAATGGAAGGAAAAATGGAAACTCCATTTACTGCTATCGATTGCTTTGCTAAGGAATCTGATGTACAAGCAAACTGAAATATAACCAAACTGTCTTCCTCATCAAACATCTGCGTGACCTGTTAGTCACACCCTCTGACTTCCTGAAGAAACCAAAATTGCTTTTGGCATCTGCAAATCATGAGCTATCAAAGAGCTGTCCCCCCACAAGACCAGTTCAGCAGGCCAAAAGGGTTCTAGATGGACAACCAGAAAGATAAGGGGTTTCATTATAAGAATGATGATAGGTTAAGGAGCTTTATTTAATCAGAGCAGAACAATAATAGTCCAGACCCAATTTCACAGAATTTTCAAAAAAGTATTCTATCAGAAGACACTAGATTTTTTTTTTTTTGCGTAGGTTTTGCGGACACCTAGCCACGGATGGGGACAGAGAGTTCTCAAATGGCCACGATATTTCCATCTGAGTGGACATCTCAGAGAATCCACATCCTCTGAATCAGTGGGATGCTGCCATCTCCCAGTTACACAAAAGGAGCAGCAGAGGCATACCTTAGTGCAGGACAGTAAATACATCTGCAGGATTCAGGAATTCCCTACAAAACATCCATGATCTCCACTGGTCCAGTTGCAGAGAACTCTGCAGCACAGAAAGCAACTATTTTATTCCCACAGTGGTCTCTTTGGGATACTTGAGTACTACTCTCCTAGCTAGACATGCCAGGGGAGATCTAGTTGGGGGGTGACTGGGTGATCTAGAATGTATAAGAGGAGCTGTAACACCTCCCCTGGGCCATTCTTTTCTCCACAAGTATGAAACCCAGTGAACGCTAAATTCCTGTGATGCCACTGTATTTTCAAATGCTTTTAAAAACCATTACTTACAGATCTCTGGACATGCTAACAGGCCTGTAACTACAGCATGTGCATGCACACACCAGGGCCTCTGCTTTGAGGCTCTCTTTAGCTTGTTTTCAGGCTATGCAAATTCTATTTTGTGTTCTCAAGAGTGAGACACTCTCAGAACCACACAACAAGACACAACTGGTGGGCAGTCAGACCTGAGACTGCACTGCCCATCAGAGGGCCTCAGAGCCTTTACATACATCCAGAGCTTATTAACAAAATATTCTTGGGGAACTAATTAAAAACCCGGCCAGTAGCTAGTGTCAGACACCAACAAGCACTGGTGAAGAGGTCACCGTGGGAATAAGAGCCAGAAATTTAATCTTCCAAGATGCACCCTGACCCCGCCCTCCCTAAAGTGCTAATGCAGAGATGAATTGCAAAGGGGGAATGAGAAAGGAGGTTACATTCTCCCTACCTTGCAAACATGCGTAGATCCTCTGGATTCTGTGCAGCAGGGACATTGAGGATAGCTTCCCGCTCGTGTTCAGACAAGCTAGCTAGCAGGTTCTCAGTCATCCGTTTATTCAATGGAGAGTCACCACCAGGTATCAGCTCAGCACTGGAATTATCCATACTAGGGCTTGTGAGAGTCATATCATCACTACTGGCTGTAAATTCAAAAATAATATGATGCTGTGAAGAGTGCAAACTAGCAGGCTCTTTCTGCCCCTCCCTCCAAGCAAACTAATCAGCTTAGTATAGCAAAGAAAGGGGGCTTGGAAACATGACATGGGAATTGCCTGCAAACAATTAGACGAGGACAGGAAATTTGGTTCTCTTGGCCAATTTGTTGAGTTTGCAGACAAGTGATGGGTAATCTGGGGCAACATACAAAATATTATTGGGACATCAGGATTTTCTTGAAAATGGGGACTGCACAGCTATCTGCACATTTCCTGGCCAGATGGTGGACTCCTTGCAAATGCATCCAAGGCATGCTGTCTAGGAGGTAAGTTTCAGTTTCTGGGAATAACAGTATGATCTAAAGGGGGATATGAGAAAAGTCTACAAACTCATGAATGGTGCAGAGAAAGTGAATAGCGAAGTGTTATTTACTCCTTCTCACAACACAAGAACCAAGGGTCACCCGATAAAATTAACAGGAAGCACATTTAAAACAAACATAAGGAAATACTTCACACAACATACAGTCAATCTATGGAACTTGTTGCCTGGGGGATGTTGTGAAGACCAAAAGTGTAACTAGGTTTAAAAAAAGGAGATAAGTTCATGGAGGAATAGCTATTAGCCAAGAGGGTCAGGGACGCAACCTCAAGCTGTGGGTATCCCTACACCTCTGACTGACAAAAGCTGGGACCAGATGACAGCGGATGGATCAATCTATAATTGCCCTGTTCTGTTCATTCCTCTGAAGCACCTGGCACACCCCACTGTCAGAAGACACGATACTAGGCTAGATGGACCATTGGTCTGACCCAGTAGAGCCATTCTTATGATCTGATAGGACTATGAGCGTGATTAAATACAGAGGCAGAAACAACATATCTAATGAGCTTTATAAACTGGTGATGTATAGCAAACAAGATGAAACAGCAACATGTGGAGGAGTGGGAAATAAATACACGAGACTACAAATAATAAACAGTGCTGTCACTGGCATTGGGAAGTTACGAATGGGAACTGCTGGGACAGGGTTTGCATTCCTTCTTTACCATTGGGAAAACCCCAGAGCTAGTGCCTCATGCCCCCATTTTCCCCTATGGGCCAGGCTTCCAAGCCCCAGACTATCCCATGATCATGATGCAGAGAGACCAGTCCATAAGGAGATTTGGGGACATGAGGTATGTGAACTACTCTCCTGGGGCACTGTGATGGCTTAGGCAGACACAGAGATTAACGTTAAACAGAGCGGAAACATTTTGTTTTGATTTTCCCTGGTGGAAAATAGAAACATTTCAACAAAATCAACATTTCTCCTGTGGAAAATTTCAATTCTGGAGAAACCACACGTTCCCTGAAAAACTTGGCCAGAAAACTCCCAGACAGCTCTAGTTTAAACAACATGAAGCGACAATGAGAAAAAGTAGAGCAGTTGGGAGAGTAGGTACGGGCAAAAGAGAAAGCCAAGGAAGCTATGCTGTAATCACAGAACTACCTGCTGGGAGGAGTTATAAATACAACAATTATATATGACTGTCAAAGATGCCTAGCAAACAAAAAAGAAAAATTGTGAGTTTATCCATCATTATAAAGGGGAAAAAAGGGGCAAAGAAGGCCTCAAAACTTCCTCCTACTCCCACACTAAAAATTCACTTGTCCCCTTTTGTTTTTCCCAGATGACTATTGACAACTGGAGAACCAGGATTATGGCATTAAACAAGCCATGCAAGTGAAACCTAAGAAACTATATTTATTCAGACTGTTTAAATCTCTGCTTTGGGTTAAGTTTAATACCTATTTAACTCCAACACTTCAGGGAAGTCCTTTTTGATAAGATCCATTATCCCAACCCAGAGAAAGCTATAACACAGAGAAATAATGTCCTGCAGAATGCCCCATAATTAACAACCATGCTTCTGGGAATACCGCAGGACACAGGCAGCTGAAGACACACACTTTAGTTTCTTTGACAAGGTTTTTGAGCAATTTGGGACTTCAGCACAACATTTTGGCTTTGGTTAGAATACTTTCCCAGAGCTGACCTCAAACCATGGCAATGGGAGGAGCTGGGGGAGTCAAGTGAGAAGAGAGGGAGTTGGCAATTGTAAACATTTGTCAGCCACAGTATCCGTGTGTGTTTCCTTAAAGACATCGCCTATAACCCAACGATTCCACTGCTGTTTGGAACATGTTTTCTCGCAAGCATTTTGTTTAAAACTCCCCCTATTCTGTTTCCGATTATGGACGTCCATGGAGATACCAGCTGTCTATCTGGAAGAACACCTGGGTCACTTGGGAAGGATGCATAAAAGGACTTCTTGACAGAATGAATGGGAAGAGACAGTCAGCACTAAGCAGATAGGAAGAGGGTGATCAAGAACTGGGTGACTAGAATGGCCTGCAGGCATTTGATAAGAGAGCTTTAATGGCCGCCAAGATGTTCACCAATTCCTGGTTCTCCAGCCCAGGGCTGACCTTGATCAGCTAACACACTGTTAAATATGACTTGCCCTACCTAGACTTACTGCAAAGTCTGTTTAAAATCATGTTAGCTAAGGCACATTGACTATCACATTATATAACACTACCTATTCTCCTACACTAGATATGGCCTATGTTAATCTCTAAAAGCCAATACAGACTTATTTACAGTAGAAAAATAAAGTGTATTCATACTTGGGGAGCCAAAGCTGAGAGCATTGGGAGTGCTTAGACTTCTGCTTCCAACTCTGGCAGTGAAGGGCATGTCTTCATCTTGAGCTCGGAAATCTTCCTCATTCGGGGGCACCATCAAACAGACATATGTGTGGAGCTGGATGAGAAGCCGATGCTGGAGCATCCATATCACCATCTGTATGAGCTGAGTCTGCAAAGAAAAAGCTAGCATTTCAGGCAAGCACTCAGAGCACAGTACAGTTCAAAAGCAAGAGGGAGACAATGCACAAGGCACTCTAAGGCCCTGTGGGGATGCACACTAAAGAAATGTTCAAACATAGAAGCAGGTTCTCTCCTTAGCACTTGGTTGAGCACTTGAAAACATGCCCTGGGTTCTTGTAACCCTACTCCAATGCATTTTGTTGCACATCTCCAATAAAACAAGAGTCTCTACTAAGGCCACTAAGCTAGTATGTTCATGGATATGTAAGGCATAAACTCTAAGCAGTGTTACTGAACTGTTGCTGACCCGGAGACTCTGACAGACTCAGACTTGTCTACCCATGTTTAGTTCACAGCAAACTGGGGTATGAGTCTGTGCTGCACTAGCCTCCAATGCAGTAAGGGCCTGACTACATGCTTCGTTAGTTTGTATCAGAGGGGTGTAAATTCTAATGCACATGAGCATGTTGCGCACTAACTGGCCTATGTGGACCCTGCTAGCGCGCATTAATGTAGTCCCATTTCAAACAGTACTACATTAACATGCACTAAGGAAAGAGAGGTTATTTACCAGCACAATGAGTTCTTTGAGCGGTTTTGTTTTTATGGGTGCTCCACTGTATGATGTGCACATGCCTATGCACTCTTGATCAAAGATTTTAGTCAGCAGTGCCCACGGGTCTGTGCCTATGCACCATACATCCTTGTGCTCCAGTGTGAGGGTATACAGAGAGATGTAGACTGCAGCCACTCCAGTTCCTTCTCAACTATGTAGCCCAGAAGACTCTGCAGCAGAGTGGAAAGAAGGTGGGAGGCGAAGCACCCATAGGGACAATATATCTCAAAGTACTCAAGTTACTATACAGGTAAGTAACTTCTCCTTTTCAAGTTATTGTCCCTCAGGGTGCTCCACTCCCAAGCAGTAATGCAACATAGAGGCAGGAGCTGAGGAGGCAGATCCAGCACAGTTCTGAGGACAGCATGACAAAAGGCCATATCTGGAAGCAACTAAGATATCACAGTGCCTGGCAAACGTGTGGTTGTAGGACCAGGTTGCTGCTGCAGATGTCCACAATGTGAGTATGAACTTAAGAAGGGCTAAAGAGGTGGAACAGGCCCTGGTGGAATGGGCAGTCATTCAAGGTGGGGGATGCACTCCAGCAGCTTTGCAACAAGCTAGAGTGTACCCAGAAACCGACTTCAGTAGTCTGAATGGAAACTGGCTGCTTCTTCATTCTCTTGGCAAAGGCAATAAAAAGCCTATTGGAAACCCTGAAAGGTCTTATTCTGTTGAGGTGGAAGGCAAGGGCCCTTCTCACATCCAGAGAATGGAGGACAACCTCCTCCCTCGAGGAATGAAGTGTGGAGGTAAAATATTGGTAGACTAATATACTGATTGATATGGAATTCTGAAGAGATCTGAGGCAGGAAACAAGGATGGGGGCATAAGGTCACCTTATCACAGTAAAAGGTAGTATAAAGAGGGTTTGCCATGAGCGCCCCTAGCTCTCCTACCTTTCTGGCTGAGGTTATGGCTAACTGGAATAAAGTCTTGAAGGCCAGGTGGAGAAGTAAACAGTACCCATGGGTTCAAACAGAGGGTTCTTTAAAACACTGAGAACCAGATGAAGATCCTAGGGTGGCATGGAGTCCTTGACATGAGGAAACAGATACAACAAACGCTTGAGGAACATGACTATGGTAGGGTAAGCAAAGCCCATAAATCCTTCCACTGGTGGAAGAAAGGCTGTAATTGCTGCCCAGTGAACCCTAATGGAGCTCAGTGACAACCTTGTGTTTTTAAATCTAACAGTTAATCAACAACATCCATGACGAGAAATTCAGAGGCAGATACAGATCAATGAGTACACCAGATGTGGAAACACCTCCACTTCTGCAGTTTTCTCATGGCAGGTTTCCTGCTGTTCAAGAGTACAGACTGAACTTCAGGAGAACTGCCCAATTCTTTGTCCAGGAACCATCAAGGAGCCAGGCCTTGACATGCAGAGATGAAAGATTGGGATGGGTTATGCCCACAGTGTCAGGAGATCCACTGTGAGAGGAAGGCCTATAGCAGTTAGTAGGGAGAGGCGAAGCAGATCCAGGAACCACACCACTTGCCTCAGCCACAATGGCACTAGGAAAGCATCCCCTATGGAGTAGCAAGCATACCCCTTCCTCAAGGAGAGGTGTTGGCACTTTGCATCGGATGGTGTTGCAAAGAGATCCACTTGCAGAAGGCCTGGTAAATATTCTGAAAGACTGAGTTGCTGAGTTCCCACTTATGGTCCTGGTGGAAGTGCCTGCTCAGGGAATCCGCTGCAGTGTTTTGCAGGCCTGGCAAGTAGACCGCAGAAATGTGTACGAGATGGGATATGTACCAGATCCACAGTTTTAGTGATTCTGTACATAAGGACTGAGATCTTGCTTCCCCTTGACCATTTATCTAGTACATTACCGCTCTGTTGTCCAACATTACCTTGACTGAGAGGCCCAGGATGTTGTGAAGGAAGTACTGGCATGTGAGGCAAACTGCCCTGAGTTCAAGAATGTTGATGTGGAGGGATGTTCCTGGGGTAGAGCATTTGCCCTGGAGATTGGCCTCCCCCCTAGCCAGCAGGGATGCACCCACAGTGATCACCCTTGAAGGGAGCTGATGCAAAAACAGAACTTTCACACAGACCTTGAGAGGGTCCTTCCACCAACTGAGAGAGTCGAGAACTCTCGGAGGTATGCTTTAGATTGTGGGCTCTGCTGCAGTGTGGAGATGAGACTGTGGTGAACCTGTCCACAGGTAGGTCATTGTAGTGAATCTGTCTGCAAGTAGGTAGCCCTGACAGTTGAGGAGTCCAGAGTGACTCTGATAAAGTCTATGAGCTGTACCAGTGTTAGGGTAGGACATGTCCATGTTCAGAGGAAGGTCCAGGGAATGAAACAAGGCCTTGTTGGTTGCTGACTGGACCTTGAAGGAGGAGTGACCCTTAAGGAGCCGATCGTCCAGAGAGGGGGAAAACTTATTCTCTGTTGACATAAGTGAGCTGTGATGACAAAGAGGAGCTTTGTAAAGACTCTTGGGGCAGTTGAAAAACCAAAAGGGAAGAACATGGTATAAGTAATGGCTCTGTGCTGATGATAAACCATAGGCCTGGACCCGCAGGCACTGCTGACTATAATCTCTGACTGACAGCACAATGGTGTGGGCACATCCTGTGGTGGAGCACCCATAGAAACAGTAACTTGAAGAACTTTCAGTTAGCAACATGCTGGTGTGCATTAGAAATTTACACCCCCTTGGTGTGGACTAGGGCTCGTCTACATAGCGCACTAAGGGTCTAGCTGGACCCCGTTGCTATGCCCTAAAAGTTCCCTAGTACATTTTGATATACCCCTCTTTGAAACAGATGTATATCAAAGTGCACTAGGGAACTTCGAGTGTGTGGCAGCAGGGTCCACACACGTTTAGTACATGGCAGGCTAGTGTGAGGTAGATTTACATCCCAGCTTGCAACAAACTAAGCTTTTGTGTAGACAAGCTGACCCTCTAAGATGAACTTGTCCCTATTCCAAATGTGAGAGCAGGCAAAGGAATCCCACAGCTTCAAAATAGACTGAGGCATTCCAGCAAGGAAATCCCTGCCTTCCCCATGCTGCGGTCACAGCAACCCTAGCATCTACTGCAGTCCCGGTCCTTCCAGCAAAAAGGAGAAAATTATATACACATTTGAACAGAGAGCTAATAAAATAGGGTTGGATCACCCTTAACTCTGAGAGATAAAATAAACCTCAGACAAACAGTCTTGGAGGCCTCAGCATAATGCCACCAACCCTGAGATCAATTAAACAACTAACATTCTGTTTCCTGTGCAAATGCCAACAAGAAAGAGTAACTATGGAAAAGAGATTAATTTGACCAAAGTAGTCAGATTTTGGCCCAGACTTTCTTGGAAAGCCACTGAGAAAGCTCGGTGACTCAGCACAACTGAGGCAGCCAAGAAGACAAACTCCCACAGGGAGCACTACCATTTGCAATCAGAAAGGATCTGACTCTGGTAGGTGCTAGAGGGGTGGGGCTAGAGGTCAGGGCTCAATAACCTTCTAGACCCAACAATGCAGATCTATTGCTAGAAGCAGGTGAATACTGAGCAGGAATAAGTAGGTGGCATTACCTCTATACATGGCATTGATGCAACCATTACTGGATACTGTGTCCAGTTCTGGTGTCCACACTGGAAAAAGGATGTTGAAAATATGGAGAGGGTTCAGAAAATGATTTGAGGTCTGGAAAACGTGCCTGGCAATGAGACTTAGGAATCTCAATCTATTTGGCATATCTAAGAGATAAATTTAAACGGTGAGGGTAATTAAGCTACCTAGAAACAATTTACCTTGAGAGATGGTGGGTTCTCCATCACTTTTGAAAACAAACATCCAGTCGATTTAAAGATACCAGAAGTTATGGGCCTGATGCAGAAATTTCCAGGTGAAAATGTATGGCCTTGGCTCACATGATCAGAAAGGTCTGTCCTGGCCTTAAAATCTATGGAAGAACTATTAAACTTTGACAGCGCTCTTCCTGGACTCAAGCTAAGAGCAATGACCAAAGATTTAAGAATCCAGCACAGCATGTATTTTGGAAAACATTTACTGGAACAGGTATAAGAATATGCCTTGGAGTTTAAACCTACAGAATCAGTGTACAGTTCTAGTAGGTCAACTTGATAGCAAAGTTCAAGGCACTTTAGATCGTCTACAGGACAGAATACAGGGGTTTTTTTTGGTTTTTTTTTTAGTAATTCTGAAGGCAGGCTGAAGACTTTAATGTAATGCTTTGCATTACAATAAATTACAGTGCTTTATTGGAAATGGATCTATAGACATACACCCCATATTTAAATTAAAATTTCTCAACGGCAATGCATGTTTACTATGTAAGTGTTCTTCTAGTAGCAATTTGTTCCTTAACTGTAGGTGCCTGAGTTCACTGCACAG